AATACTCAGGACCTGGCAAAATGCCAAACACACGGTGGGGGAAGCTTGTGAGCATGTACTGTCACAATCTATTGTAGCAAGGAGGGTAATGGTCGCATAGAAATTTTGCACTGCGGACTTAACAACAGCTGTTCGATTCCCACCTGTTCCTTTCAAACCATAAGTGTTTCCCGAAACAGCTCAGTGTATGTCTACAAACACAACATCCGTCTCGTTTCTTCTCATGTACGTAAAATGGCTCAACCCTTCCAGTCGAAACAGGTCCAAAGTGGAAGTGCTTTATTATTTAAAATTGATTATAGATATGAATCTTTTTCAAATGATGTTAGTCTCCGACACGGTAGCATTCCGGAAAACGTGCCCCAGTGACGTAATGCAACACTTCAGCGGCCTCCGGCGAAAGGTTTGAAAACTTTAAAAAAGATAGATGTCTGTGGCAGAATTTGCCTTAATTGCTTGAAAATTGTTAGGAAATACAGTGACTTTTATGCCTGCAACATTTGTGCATAAAATTGGGCTGATGATGTCATCTGACCGGAAGTTATAATGAAAGAGTTTTAATTAATTAAAAATTGCTTATTATTCAATCCTGACAGTTACAGTTTAAAGTTACTCACGAAAGTAGAGTAAAGAGTTTTGGTTGTTGTATTGTTCATTAGCACTGTGTGCCGATAATAAAAAAAATTATCATACACTGCTAATGCCGCAACGCTACCCCTAGGGGTAAGAGCCATAACGGTAAGAGCCATATGCTTTGTACAGGTAACGTATGTATATATGGAGCCACAACGTTTCTGGGATGTTGCCGATGTTCCATCTACTGCATTCATCCACTACAGATCGCTTGTAATCGAAGCATTGTCACATGCATCTCGGCTCGCTGCCCAACATGTGATTAAGGAAGTCGGTGCATGGCCCAGATATTCAATGTTGAAATGCAGACTTACTGCAGTTTGATTCCTGCCCATTGTAACTTCTTTGTCATCGAACTGAAAAAGTTCCCCATAAACAGCTCAGTATTTATCCACCGACAAACACAACAGTCGTCTAGTTGACTTTTTTCATTTTGTGAAAAAGGCATTCATTTTGTCAAGATTTTTTTTTTTCATTCTTGTTACTGTTCTTCCCGGAAAATCCTTTTTCTTTTGTACACAGTTTTTCTCCCCATCACTTTAGTCCCTTTGAAGGTTTGATTCTTCATCTAAATTGCCTCAAAGAAAGACCCTATTGTTCCTTGAAGCATAATTTCATTGTGACGTCATCATGTGATTTATTATGTAATTGTAGAGTTTTAATCTTTAAAAATCCATATAAAATCAACTGTGACTTCAGCGACTTGGTGCTTGCGGTTACGTTGTAGTAAAATTAAGTTCTTTGTTTCGTCTCATGTGCACAAAGTCACGTGACCCTTGCTTCCTGTCGAAACCGACAATGGCATATAATTCAAAATTGGTGATATAAACATGATAAATGAACTGTCTTTGAACAGTGTTAGTCTCTGGTAAGATATTACTCTGCAAAACATCTACTGGAGACGTCATGATCCGATCTGCCTCTGGAACGGGCCCTCCTGTCACAGCCTGCACGATCTCGTCGTCACTCCATTCCGTCTTGGCATCCATTGGCAAATTGTCATTGAGGGCTTCCCATGCAGCAATAACTGCCGGTTCGCCCATCCCTTCTAAGTTCCGTTGGTTTCCAAGTTGCCGAACAAGCTCTGCTAGGGGAGGATCATCATCATCTTCTTCTGCCGGATTGTTGCCTTGAACTGGAGTGCCGAGCGTCTTCTTCCGGGCGTCTTGAATGGATTTTTGCTTGACTGCTTTCCATGCTTCCGCCATCATGTAGCATACGTCCTTGAGAGTGACAGACTTCAAAACTGAAGTACAAGTTCGTGTCCTCATTATCGTCGTCTAATACCCGGCACAGAAGATGTTTCCGATAGACTTTCTTCATGGCCTGCATCACACCGCAGTCCATCAGTTGCATCTTCGATGTTGTGTTTGGAGAAAGGAATGTGCATTGAATACCCCCACAGCGGCTCACAAGGGGGTTCTTGGGCATGTGTCCAGAGCAGTTGTCAAGCAGTAGAACTGCCTTATGAGGCAGGTTCTTCTGTCAGAAATTGTTTAACTTGTGGGACAAACTCTTGGAAGAACCAGTCCTTGAACAGTTCTGAGTCCACCCATGCATTTGCTTGGCTCTTGTAGACTAGGGGCAAGATCTTGTGAGAGATGTGATGAAAACATTGTGGGTTTCTAGCCTCACCCACCATCGTAATTTTCAGCTTGTGGTCACCAGTTTCATTGGTGCAGCAGAGTAGTGCCACCCGGTCCTTCACCTGCTTGTGGTCTGGTGCGTTGCTGTCACCACTATGGAAACAAGCCAGTCTCGTCAGCATTGGAGCGCTGCTCTGGCAACAGTTCTTGTTCATCCAGGTAGCGATGGTATGAGTTTCGAGACTCGGACATGGAGCCTTCACTTTGTGTGGACAGGCACTCTCCTGGCACGGTAAGTTCGCGTATCCCGTGCCTTTCTTGAAATCTCTTCAACCAGCCAATTGAAGCTGCAAATGCGCTGTCTTCACCATTGATGCATGTGTCAAAATAGACAGCTTTCTCATCAAGGATGGGCTCCAAAACCATGGCTCTTTTACTGCGCTGCGCCTTAAACCAAGTGAAACCAGCATTCTCTACTGCCCGACTGTCTGCTTTCTGCATCCTCTTCCGCATCATGCCAACTGGGGTGTGAATCTGGGTTCCCAGAAGTTCCTCGAACTTGTCCTCCTGCAACTTGTCGATTTCATTGACCGTTGAGCAGCCAATTGCATATTCTCGAGCGATAGCTGCTTGCGAGGCTCCACCATCAATTCTCTTGATGATTTCTTGCTTATCAGTGTGGGTCATGATCTTTCTCTTTCCCATGATGAGCTTGGAAGACTTCGGAATGTGCAGCGGAAAAGCGATAAAAGTGTAGATGTGTACTCAAGCACTTTAACCACCAGAGTGGGAAGATTGTAAGCTGTTTTGGCAATTTGAACTTTTCAAAAGCGGCTGCTGTCTTCAAACTCAAAATTCAAAGCTACCGCTCAGAATCGAACTCTGCAGCTGTGGCGAATCTTGATGGCTTGCGTATCAGCGGCGCCCTCTTTAGTCTATTTTTAGTGCAGTGCTATGTTTCACGTGCGGTTTTCCTCCATACCCATCACTTACAAACTGGATAGGTTTTGTACACGTTTTTCAACAGCTAGACCTTGGCACTGTTATCAATCCTGTAGAATTCAGGATTAAGCCCAACAGGACGGTCAAAGAGCAAAATCATCATAATAACAACATTAGGTGTCATGTGACGTGACATTAAAAGTGCAAACTTAAAAGCACTAGATCTTCTCAAGCAAATGTCCAATTGGGTTTAGACCTTGCATATATCTAGAAAGGGAAGTGTTATAGAGGAAAATTGACCATTTTTTGAAAGCCCTTTTGGGCCATTTGGCAATCCTGAAACTTCGTCAAAGTTACACAGTGTAAAGCCTTAAACATCAAAAATTTACCATAAAAAATCACATCATGATGATATCACAAGGTGTCAAATTACAGTACTTAAATGTAAATTTATATTCATATTAAATCTTCAAATATCCTCATAAAATCAACCGTGACTTCTTGCTGAAAACTGATAATAGATATGAACCTACTTCTAATGTTATTAGTTTTTGATACAACGGTATTCCTCAAAACATGCACCACTGACATCATGCAGCATTCGAGCACACTTTGGTGACAGGTTGAAAAATTTGGCGTGCTGTGTTCGCGTATACCAAAGTCATACACCTGCTAAATGATGTATGCTACAGTATACATACATACATTGTGTACAGTGATACATGTACATGTACAATGCACATTCACACAAATGGCTTGATAACTTGATTATTGAAGCAATTATTCTCATCTTTGCTCCACACGAAGTTACTATTCTTAACATATTGAACATCTGTGAGAACCCATTATACATGAGGAATTAAAAGAAATTGATGGCATCAATAAAATGTAAATGTTTACAAAACTAAAAGTACCGAAAGACCACTTTAATGTTCCTACTCATTATTGCTGCATGTAATGTGCATCCAAAACCAGTTCTATGGTCTATCAAACCTTATATGTTTTAACTATTATAGACACTCAGATCATTGCATCTTCTGGTAATAAAATCGTGGAACTGTGAACTCTTCAAAGGATTGGACCTTTTGACCATTATTCAATATCTGCACTTACATGTACCTCTAGGAAACAGCACAATCCATTTAATTGTAAGCAACTTCAAGCATACAAATATTCAGGATGCCAACTTAAGGCAACAAGCATACATGTGCTTTAACCACTTGCTGCCAGGTGGTTTGAAAAATGCAGTGCACATAATTAAGACTTCATCAAGATTTTCAGCTGTCAAAATTCTTCAAAATTTATCATTTCAATTAATGGATGTTTACACCCACACAAATAACTGTGTGGCAACCACTCTAGTCTGACAGACAAGATCTATTGACACCTGAGTATTTCAGCCAGACCTGCAGCCTTGTAAAAAGAGCCCAGATTGTGCGGTGTTATGTAACTTTTTTTGTTCACGAATTTGGCACAGTGCGCTGCTGACCTCTTTTCAATAGGGGCCAGATTAGAGTGCAGTGGTGCTGTGTGGCTCATTGCTGCGGTGGTGGAGCGCAGCAATGAGCAATGAGTACTGTATGTGCAAACCTACATGTATGCCCAAGCTGGCGCCATGTTTTGGGGACAATTTGTCTGTCTTCAAACTGGATTTGTTCTCATAATATATCTTTCGTTCGACAAATGAGTTGTTCTCCATAACTACAGTGCCAGTATATGGGTGCTTGGATTGTATGCTTACACGTAATTATATAGTGGTTAAAGATCACTCACTTAATGATAATTTAGAACATGCTCTTTTTTCAGTTAATTTGAACAGGGTTTTTTTCCCCTTTTCAGCAAGAATTGGCAGAGAGAGAAGACAGAAAGCGTCAACAAGAGATCATTGATGTGCAGCGCCAACAGGAAGCTGAAAAAGAAAAGCAAGAACAAAGGCTCAGAGTAATACCACTTACATGTATATCGTATCTGTAGATATGTTTTTCTGCCATTATGTATTTTTCAAAAATGAAGGTTTTACAAATTTAAATATTTTGTCAAAAACTAGGATGAAGAAGCTGCAAAGATGAAGGAAGAGCTAGAAAGGCAAGAGGAGGAAGCATATCTTTTACTCAAGAAAGGTTTTGAGGTCCATGAGGAAGGGTTTGGTGAAATACTTACAGAGTCAGAGGTGAGTCTCATATGTGGTACATTTATTTTGTCTGAGGCATCATGCTTGAGGGGTATTAGTTTTTACCTAGTTGCATTGTCTTCAACTAATTTCCCTAAAACAATTTAGGAGCCATTCAAAGTTTTTGATGTTTTATTTTAGATTTTTTTTTTAAATGGCAGATGGGTTAACACAAATTGTGGAAAATTGAAATTCACTTTTCTTTAAAAAAAAGCAAATTGATCTGTTGACTCGCTTGAATTGCCAGCATACAGTGTTTTTCAATATATATGTTGGATTAGGGCAAAAACCTGTTACATAAATTAACATCTCCCCAATGCAAAAATACATGTTGAAAATAGTTTGCAGTACCTGCTGCTTCACCTGACTCAGACCGGCCTACCGACCCGGGCAAGCTCGGTGGTCGAGCGGTTAAGACATCTGCACCAGTAAGCAGGAGGTCATGGGTTCGAGTCCCACCCGAGTAAGCTTGTGACTTTTTTCACAAGCTCTCAGACAAGCACTGAACATACAGTGATTA